ATATATATATATATATATATATATATATATATATATATATATATATATACTGTATATAAATACACTGAAAAACAAAAATGTAGAAAAATGGATAGGATAGGATAATGTCCTGACAGAAAATGACCTGCGGGCTGCGTTTCCCAAAAGCTTCGTAAGCCTAAGAGGTTCGTAAAAACGATCGTACGACTGATCTTAATATTACGGTCTATTTCCCAAAAGCATCGTAACTTAAGTAGCACTTGAAAATCATCGTAGAACTACGAGTGCTCTGGAGTACTCGTAAAGCCCGAAGTGCATCGTAAGAAAACAGATTTATGCGGTCACCTGCAGGACAATCGGCAGATTACACCTTTAACTTTATTCAAGTGCAATGTGATTATAATATAAGGATATGATTGTACTTTATTCTACACTTTATTACTATATTAGGCTACTTTATTTTTTTGTTTTTTTTAAATGAATTTATAAATGAAATAATTAAAAAGGGCAGAAAAAATAGAAATACACATCTAAACTGAATGACTGAACCAAAAAATAAAACATAAATGAATAAAAGAAGTAATGGGGGGAGGAAATCTCTCAATGACTTACTGACGTGCAAGAAAACCAATGTATTGGACCCGGAAATTACGTGTCTATATAGATATTATATAGCCTACTATAATATATATTTTTGTATAAAGTATATTGTAGCCTATATTTTTATGTAAAGTATAATATTATACGTATAAATGTAATATAATATAATATAATAGTTATTATATCCGAGTTGTCTGTAACGCAGCATTAGGTTAACATTTCAATAAACGAGCGTGTACTACTTCCGTTCTGAACAGAATTTAAAAGTATGAGTCACCAAATAGTGCACAAAAAGTGTTGTTTTTAAACCTATTAGAAGTTGAACTATATGGCGCCCTCTACTGAATGGTAATCAAAAATAGTTTTTACCTCTTTCTGTGTGTCCAAACATTCATAAAAGTAAAATATTTGTGAATATTTTAATGGCAATGAGTCAGTTACACCCCAGCAAATAGAATTTAAAGCACATCAATTCAAAAACTTGATATACTGTACAAATAAGCATCGTCCTATTTACCATAATTGCAATCTCTTCCAGCCAGTTCACCTGAGAGCTCTGTTAGCCTTAACCTGAAGAAAAGAAAGAGAGAGTGAGCGAGAGTAGCCTCCTGATGCTGACCTCTCAGCTCACTCTGAGGAAGTAATATGTTCATTACAATGCAATTACAGACACTTACATGTCTCAATAGTGCAGCGCATTGAGAGGAGTCTGCACCGGTCCCTCGATGCTAACACAACCCTGACCTTTATATGTTTGTGCATTAATGCACGAGCCCATATGTGTGATTGTAGATAGGACCATAAATATGTGTGTGCTTCTGTTTTTAGTCTGTCTGTAGGTGCAGAATGTACAGCTTCATGGGAGGAGGGCTGTTTTGTGCAGGAGTGGGCAATATATTCCTGATTGTTTCCACAGCAACAGATTATTGGATGCAGTACCGTCATTCAAACAACTACATGCATCAGGGGCTGTGGAGATACTGCATGCCCGGAAAATGCTTCACACACACCGACAGCATTGGTGAGAATTACGGTCCAACAGAGCGGCAAGAAATTTTGCTTGAATTTTTTTAATGGAATTTAACATAAACATACATTGGTTGCAGCAAATGTGCATTTGATTTTGTGCTTTAAAGTTGATGTTGTTCCCTAGATCTTTATATTTTAGTTTAGTTTTAACAGTCATGTATGTTCAAATGAGCTGGTGATAACATGACCTTTGACCTTCTGACGTCTATGTGCATGTGTATGTGTGTTCACAGCATACTGGGATGCTACACGAGCGTTCATGATCTTGTCTCTGTTGGCCTGCTTCATTGGCATCATCATCGGTATTATGGCCTTCATCCACTACTCTGACAGGTTTGATAAAACCTTTGCTGCAGGCATTCTGTTCTTCATCTCATGTAAGTTGCCTTTCTTCTTGTTTTATATAATCTTTAAGTATGACAACTTTTTTACAACTAGTGTTTACAACTAGTTGTTGCATGTAATCATAGAGAAATAAAAATGTTACTTATTTTGTGGATGGTGTTATTGTACTGCTTTGCTTTTGTTATTGTGTTAAGTAAAGTACCCTGCAATTTGTGGAACATGGAATTTGTAATGTAGTGTTAAAAGAACAATTACAATATTAAATAGTATTTAATAATTGTATTACATTTAAAGATTAATATTTAACAATACAAATGTTTAAAATCATTTAATTATTCATTATTATTGTTATTTTAGTTTAGTTTAATACTGCTTCTTTATTTTTTCTCCATAAGGCTTTTTTGTGTTTCTGGCCATGGCTGTGTACACTGGAGTTACAATAAATTACTATGGTAAACGCTATGGTAACTGGAGGTTCTCCTGGTCTTACATCATTGGCTGGGTGTCTGTTGTGCTCACTTTCTTTTCAGGTAATGACATTTTTAGAGTCTGAAAACAGCACCTCTAAATGATCTACCTTATTCTTTTGCATTTTTACATTCATTTTAAATGTAGTGTACTTATGCATGATCAACTGATATAGGTCTCTTTTTTTCTATTTTTAAAGTTACTTTCTGTAGAAACGCAGCCTTATTAAAAGAGGTAAATTATAGGTAAACACAAATGGTTTTTGACTTCATTTATTAATTAATGTGGTTGTTTTTGTTTTTCTTTAGGAATTTTCTACATGTGTGCATACCGGATGCATGAATGCCCCAGAATGTCAAATCCTCACTAGAAAACTGGGCTTTATTATCAGAAGTATTGGACGCCTCTTCAGTATCAAACACCATTAGGTCATGAAAATAAGAACAAAGTCAAATTTTAATAAAGAATCATAGATAGTATAACAATGTGTGAACACTTACAATCTTTATTTCTGTCTATATTATAAAAAAAGTGTACAAAACAATTGGCGGAGAATCTGAACATGACGAAAAAGAGTCAAAATAATGTTTTTCTCTTTGTTTTGCCTTCATTCATCTTTTCCCTGCCTTTCATTCAGTCATTCTTTCTATGAAGTAAAGTGGTTCTGACACAAAAAAAAAACAAACATTGATGCTATCAAAAATATATGATGTATGTGGTTTTTGTTTAATTTTTTGGATACTTTTTAAGATACATAAGGACTTGGCATTACACACTAAGCTGGTCGAGCATGTAAACTGCTCTCAGTGTAAGGAGCGCGAGCTAATACCACAAGCCTCTTACTACAGAAACGCACCACTTAGGTGTGACGCAGTGGCGTGCTGTCTCCCAATTTCACTTGATTAAATGGCTATTAAAAGCTGCTTAACTGCCTCTGGGTGCGGATTCTATCGACTTCTCAAGTAAAGGCGATTCCATCACCATTAGTACATTTACTTTCGCGTTTTGCCATAAAAGCAACTTGTTACCATGATTCGTAGCAGTGTGGAGCGCAGGTGCCCCAGTTAATAAAAGGTTTCAATTACAGTGCTCCAAAATCACATTAAATCGTTGAATAAACAGACCACATGTGACAGGTAGGCCTGTTTTGTTGAATTCACGTAAAGCTTTAGCAAATTTGCATATAATCTTAACGAAATCATTTTCTTAAACGATGTTTATTTTTTATGATGTTTGCCAGTAAAACATACCTGAACATCGTTGAAAAAAAGATTCATTTACTTAGAATCAAAATTGCATAAAAACTTATTTTTGCATAATAATAATTGCATTAAGGTTCTTTTTTTCTTGCCCCATTAGCACGTTTGAGCATAAACCTCACTAAATAGTGTTAGTTTTATGCTTTTTAACTGATTTTATAGGTGTACGTATAACTACTTTACAAATAGCCTATACTACAAACTAATAATTCTGAAAAGATAATTGCATGCCTTCAGGAGTGACAGAGATAGGCTACTCATTAAATGACTCCAAACTCATTAAAACTGAGAAACTCTGTGATATTCTGTCATTTAGATGGTCTTCAGTTTTCGTGAAATACACCAACACTACTAATGAAGCCATGTCTCACATTTGCAGGAATACTGTATTTTCATGACCAATTGAATCCAGTAATTAATTTGTTCTAACTCATCTGATCAAATGGAAATCCTGCGGTCGAGGATTACTACTTCCGCTCTAACATCCAACCTAATTACCTAATAGCATTGCTGCAAGACTTCTGCCAATAATGAAACACTTTTACCATTAGCCCCCGTGATTGCAGATGTGATGACAACACGATATCAACAAATTACCGCTCCATCAGTTGAGACGGGACTGAAGCACACTTGTATCCTCGCAGATTTCAATATCTACAATTAAATCCTATTTCACGGAAGCCCTGTTGCCCTGTACCGTCATATGAAATAATAAAAAAAAGTATACCAAATAGGCTACATGCTCCCTCAGCAATAAATGAAAAAGAAAACAGTGAAACACCAAGAAATGAGAATCAGAGACGTTTAGAAAAGATCGTTTTACTTTTTCCTAATTGGTTATTTTACGTTATTTAAACATGTTCTCGTTATTACAGCAATCAGGGTTAAATACGGAGCTACCCTTAGATGTTTAGATAGGCTTTTTTGGGGGGTAGGCTATTATTATAGCAGAAGTGTATAGGCTAGTAACCATGTTTTGTTTTTTGGCAGATTAATTACCATAATTTTACTACAAATACCACGGTGAAACGTTGGCTACTGTAGCAAATGGCTAATTCGTGGTTACCTTGGTTTAACTATATTTACCATGTTTTTTTATTGTTTCGTTTTTTTAGTAAAACTAAGAATAATTGTCGTAAAGGTAGCGACGAAAATTTAAATGGTAACGGTCGTAACTGAAAGCGAAGCGGTAGGCTATTATTAAATTTAAAATGTATATAACATTGGGTTAAATTCACACATAATTAGTTGCTTTGTATGGTTATCTTAAGTTGTTTTTTTTTAGTAACGATCCTGCAGGTAGGTGTAAATACAGAACTTTTAGCCTAAATTGTTAGCATTTGTCGCGGCTTATTTGTAACCCATCTTAAAATGTAGGCTATAACAGTTTTTTTTTTAAATTCCAGACACAATAATTTGTTGTTGTGTTGGATTATTAGCTACACATTTTTGAGGCAAGAATCCAACAAACGGAGTTAAGTACAGAACTCGCGAAGACGAATGTAAATGTAACGCTGGTAACCGAAGCTTCAGCTGGATTGTAACAGGTGCTTCAGCGTGCGGTGCATTATTTTGAATTCTTTAAACGCTGTCAACCCTTTGTTCAGATTCTTGACGGGGCCACGCGCCTTTTAAACCAGTGTACAGTGAAAGTGCAGGCTTATGTGGGAGTGACTGTTGCGGGGACAGGGCTCTTGTAGCGAGGCTTTTTCAGCACCACGGGGAGCGACCCTGCCGCTCCTCCAGCCGCCTGCATAATTAATTCGTAAAGAAGTCGCTCAATCCTCCGCCCAGCCGTCGCGCCATTGGTTGAGTGCTAATCTACTTCCTGATTTGCTGCTGTCAGTCTAGATCCAAATAAATAGTAATGTACCTGTACCAGCGTGCACAGGTTGCCAACGAGACTACGTTCCAGCTTTTAAGGTCCTGAAGACTGGGACCAACTGAGTGATCTTGTTTGCGACACAGGCATCAAAAGCCCCACGGATTGTCCGTTTTTTTTTTTTGGTTGGTTTTTTTTACGTTTTGAGATGAATCTGAACTACATTTCTCCGGTCCCCCAGATGCCGGCTCAAAGGTCAACGTCGTTCTTCATTGAAGATATTTTACTACATAAACCTAAACCTTTGCGAGAGGTGTTTCCCTCGCCCTTTTCAAACTCTCTTGCCTCCCGGATGCCTTTTATAGAGTATGGATATCCACTCATGCCTACACCGATACTGGCTCCTCATCCGCATCATCCGCTACACAAACCTGAACACCATCCATACTTTTTCACCTCCGGTAAGTAGCCAACCCTAAAGTCAGGCCTTTACGTGAAGAAAATTGTGCAATTTATATGCATTTAATGGATGCATGCTTACAAAGTGGCGTATTTTTTTTTGTCTTTGTGGCTATTAATGGAAGATATCAAACAGGCCTACGTTATTCCAGTTAATATTTTAGAAATCATTCCATAAACAACCTTAATATGGGTAAATTGGTGCTGCAAATGTGATAGATAGCCAATGATGTCAATTAACCTAAAATTTGCTTCGTGAGGTCAAAGTCAAATCAAAATATTATTTAGTATTGTTCCATCACTGTGACTATATTGCACGACTGTATTTTTAAGGGTTAGAATTTGTAAATTCTAAATTTGTAAATGATCCCTAGTAACCACTTTTTAGCGTGATCTTCATAGAGCATCTCTTGGTAGTAATAATAATAATAATAATAATAATAATAATAAACTATCGACTATCTGTAACTGGGCCTACTTCATGCTTTTTTTTTATTAAAATCACCTGTAAATTAAAACAGCATCTGTATTTTTTTTCTAATCGATTTTATTATTTACGGAAAACAAAACAAAACAAAATAAAACAATCAGCTAGATTAAAACAATACTCTTTTTTTTCTGACTTGTATTGTTTTCGTTTTGAATTCACCTGCGCTGTTAATTCTAAAACGCGACTGAAATATAAACATGGAAAGTGTTCTGCAAGGCTGCACGCTTAATCTAAATTCGAACGAAATGTAGGCTATTAATGATTACCATTATGTTTCCATTGCAAAAGGAATGCAGATGCCTGCGTTATTTCAGCATCATCCCGAATTACCAGGGAAGCACTGCAGACGCAGAAAGGCCAGAACAGTGTTCTCAGACTCTCAGTTATCCGGACTTGAGAAAAGGTTCGAGATCCAGAGATATCTGTCCACACCTGAGCGCGTGGAGCTGGCTACGGCGCTCAGTCTATCGGAAACACAGGTAATAACGCTACATATCGTTGAAGAACTTAGATAACATTTTTAAGATCTTACATGTGTTATCAAACCTTTTATGAAAACGAATCAGGAGTTCACAAAGGCTTATCATTCGTTTGCCTTGCGCAGGTAAAGACGTGGTTTCAAAACCGGAGGATGAAGCATAAAAAACAACTGAGGAAAACACAAGACGACCAGAAAACCCCAAATGATGCAGACAGATCGCTGGAGAACACGAGCGAGAGCGAAATGCACGAGAAAAATACAGACGGTAAAAACGGCATGAGTCCGGACAGATACACGCTGGACGACAATGAAGATGATGTCGATATTGAAGATGACATTTGCTCTCCTGAACATTTACTCTAGTATTATCACCCCATGAACAAAAATGTACATATGAATTACAGTCATTTAGATAGGAAATTAATATAGTATAAAATATAGTTTTGTTTTGTTTTTGAGAGCATTGGTCTAATGTTATACTGTTCAAGCGCTTACTTAAGGAAATTCTGGACAGCTGAAGGACTTTAAATGATAGGTGTCTATTCCACATTATTATTATTATTATTATTACAATAGTCATGGCTTTGTGTCTGACGACTCTGACCATTTTTGTAAATGTGGAATGAATGATAGTAATGTACTGACAGTCTGTAAATAGATTTATGATGTACTTGATAAATAATCATTCGAGAGATGTAACAATTTTCATTACAACTGAAGTGTAACATTTGACATTTTCAGCACTTTCGCGGGACGATGATATCGGTTGGCATGTTGTGGACTGAGATCTTTATGAGCTCAAAAACTGTGACCTGTCATTTGTTGAAACACATCATGTATATAAACAAATGTACATTGAGTGAATTATCTAAGACAATTCTTAAACGAGCTGCTTATGAGTTCATCATTTCCTCAAATTCGTGAAAGCTGCGGGTTATCACAATTTCGAACATTGTTAAAGAAAGGAATAATATTCCCGATTATTACATAACAACAGTATTAACACTAACAATATAGAAGTAATATTAGACTAAATAATAATAAATAGAAACCACATGGAAAAATCAATTGATTTGTCAATAAAAACTAGTACTTGCATCATAGCTACAGATGCACGAATGCTTGAGAATGCATGATTTAGCTCTGCTCCTTGTTTGTCATCTTCCCCCTGTTCTCCTTCACTGATACAAACTGGATAATTAGCCTATAAATAAATGGGACTAACTGGATAAATATACATAAATGGGACTAACTCACTTTAAGGATTAGAATATGAGAATCAGGAATATTTTCGAAATCGGATGGGTGGGAAATATTATTTATGTGGGAATGGCGTGAGAATATTGGAATTGTTTTTGGACAATCGATAGACACCAATTTGTCCTTTTTAAACTCACATTGTATAAATTATTGACCATTACATTATTCCTATGCCATATGTCTATGTTAAATTCCGTTATATAATAGCCTACCTACTGACTCACTTGACCATTGTTCTGTTAGTGCCGTTTTAGTTTTACCCGACTTACAAAAAGACTTGGCCTGTATTTTATTAGTCTAATAACGGTGCCGTTATTGCAGTTTAGTTAGTTTCAGGGTGTGAATTACTCGATAACTTTTACGCATGTTTGAACGGAACTACCATCAGTAGGGCCTAATTTTTTACCTTTTAGAGTTCCTAGCAATCAATTGTTTTACAAACGGTTTATGTGTTATATTTCTGATGTGTAAATCCATAATAACGTGATAAAAATAAGCCAACAGTAGCCTACTTTTTTAGGTAGCTACCGTCAGTTACGGAGAGCGAGTGCGCAGCCGTTGCTATGGTTACCATCTATCAAGCGACGAGTTCTGTTCTGTTAGCGCACTCTGAAAACTGGTCAACTTTTATTTGAAAACCCTGTTGACACGTGTATATACTTACATAGCTTCAACCTTTTTTGACTTCCGGTGAGAGGGTTTAGTTCTTAACTGGAGGCCACAGGCTACTTCACAGCGGTTTTAATAAAAATGTAATAAGACTCGTCTAAAAGCATCTTTTGCGACGCACAGGTGTCCTAAAAATAACGATTTTTTTAATTTATTGGGAAATAATTCTAAATTTGACATTTTTTTATCAAATATTAATGATAACATGCATGTAAGCAAGGAGTAGCTCGCATTCATTTGCGGCAACAGCCCCCTTTTTACTCTAACAGGGTATGTGGCACACTTCCACCCTTTGAAAAGCAATTCATGTCGTTTTCAAAATGTGATTCTGATTTAGCCGCGGAAAATAAAACACTGCAAGAGAGTAGGCCGAGCGGAAGGTGATCAATTAAAAGATTAAGCGTTTTGCAACACATGGACGCATCTGCATGCTGCTCTAATAGCAGAGCCATCAGCTCATTTTCAGGGGCCTGCCGCCTCCTTCAGCACTGTCCACAGATCAAAGCCTGCCTCAGTCTCCCAATCCTTAAAAAGGGATGCTAATTCAACCTCCTTCATGTGCGGTTGAGAGAGACCCTTCAATTAACTGATTTCAATGGCAGGAAAGAGAGAGAGAGAGAAAAAAAAGATGCAAAGAGAGTCGGTCTGGAAAGGCAGCATTTCTCATTAATTCAAAAGGTCCAGCATTTATTAGCCTCACCTCTGAGGCTTAACACTGAAAACACAGAGTATCAAAGCAGACATGATGGGTTAAATAGAGGCTATAATCTAATTAAAATATTACATAGGAGTAAATAGCTCTTTGATAACGATCTAAAGCTTCCATTAAAGAAATAGGTGCTTGAGCTTGTTTTAGGGGGAAAATGATCACTTTAGAATACAGAAAACAAGTTTGTGGGCTCTAATAAGGGAGGCTTCAAAGTGTCATCCTTATTTGACCTATTTTTTTCTCTCGGTGAAAGAAAAGGGCAGGCGAAAGTGGATATAATCAGACTAATAGCCGGGAACTGACAGAAAACGGCACGTTACACTGGGTTAACGGTGCATCCAGGTGTGCTTGAAGAGATTGGCGCTCTTGTGCACAGATCTATTGAAACAAGGGGAAAATAGCTGGATAATGCAAAGCCAAGCAACAAAACCCCACAGCATTTCATTCGAGATTTCTTTATATCAAAAAATGATTTTCAAAACGAGTATGCAGTGGATTACGTGCTACGCACCTGTTCCACTTCCAGTGCTTTGCAACTGAGCAGGATTATAATGGGTATTACGCATATATACAGTACACACAAAGTTAAAGCAAGGAAAAATAAGGATTCTATGGAAGTGCAATTGATAAAACTCATGTATGCGTGGTGCTTTTTAGAATTAAATGGCATGAACGGCTCTGAAGCGAGCCACGGCACGTTTCTCTTCCTCATGCCGTCTCAACATCTCCAGAGTGGCCAGATGGAATGGGTCCATTTCCTGTGGATATTGAGGCCGCGTGCTCACGTTCTGCTCTCTGGTTCTATCCTTTGGCTTTGGAGGGGGTTGGGGCTTTGCAATCGTTTTGGCATATTCTAAAGCCTGGTCAAAAACAAAAAAAGCAAGAAAAATATGATAACATATACACACGTAAACCACTTTGGATGAAAGACATACAATATATGATTTAGAGATTAAGTAAAGCTCATGTTTTCAGAATGAGATTCTCTTACCTTCCTCCTGGGAACGATGTCCTTGTTGTCACTGCCCACTGGGTCCTTGGCCAACAGAGAGGGAATCCTACTTATCTTCTTGTTCTGTTCGCGGATCATATTTGAATACAGCTTCTGTCGTCTAATTTTCTCTGCCTGACAGCAGTGAAAGAAAGAGCAGCAAGATTACAAAAGGGAACTTTAATTACCTAAGCCATTTCTTCCCTGAGGCCCCTCTGTTTCTTTGTACATCCCTCCATCAAGCTACTCAACAGGAGCAAACAAAGCCAAATAAAACTCATCATCCCTTTCAGAATCAGTGTTAACACCTCTCTCAGGCTGTGAGCGGTGCGAAAACAGTTATTTTATGTGAAATGTTTACATCAGCCGAGCTGGAAAAATGTCTCTGTTTGTTTTTTGAGGGCTATGCTCATTAGATTAGTTGGTCCATTTCTATTGTGTTCAGAAACACAAGTCTTTTAAATTCATGAGGAAATGAAAAGAGGGGTTTATTGAGACACAACCCTCACTTGACAATTGGACGTAGCAATTAGGGATTAGCTAAATCAATATTCAACAAGGAGATCACCAATTATCCATTGAGTCTTTCTCCTAAATCTCCACACACACAAATTATTCTGATTAAACAACATTATTTATGATTATCGTCAGATGCTTAAGTCTTTGTACAATCTGAAGTGAGTATTTACCACAGTTTCTGGTATTGTGTTCGTTGGTCCAAGACATCCAAGCTTCACCTCCTGTTTCATGTTTTTGTAGTCCTTCAGTGTATAAGCCTGAGAAGACATTTTGTAATGCATATATATTTATTCATTATCCACATGGATGTTTAAATAGTGAAGATACTGTGAGAAAAACGGTCTTAATCCTAAAGTGCCCTCATGCCACAATCCGCAAACAAAAGCACTAATCAGGTCAGGCTCCTTCAGGTTCTCAGGACTCAGCCATTGGTCATGGACACTGCAGGACAGCTGTTTTCCACTCTGATCTGCTTCCCCGTGGTCTGCCACACTAGCTGTTTTACAAATGTATCCCATAATCCTATGAGACATGATGGCGGGCACATCAAGGTGAGGAGAGCAAGCTTCTCCCAGGAAAGCAATTGGTTTTATGGTGTAAGAACCGCATAATCCGGATAGAGCATCAGTGTTCCATGACATAATGACCCTTAAATTGTGACAAACATGTTCATGTAGCACTAAGAATTTTACTGATCTAGAAGCCTAATAGCACAGATACTACAATAATTTAAAGGGATAGTTCACCCAAAAATGAAAACTCTTTAATTATTTAAAGGAATAGTTATATGAATAGGAACAGTAATAAATCCATAATCCATAATTCCTCCAGTGAAAAGTCCATCCCCTGTTGTCTTCTCACATTAAAATCCACCAACATATTTGTTAAGAACTGTTTTGGACTCTTGTAAATGGTGCTTGATCTGTGCATAAAGCAATATTATGGATAGGGAACTCTCAAGGAGGAAAAAAACATGCATTAAGATCCGGGGGTGAAAACTTTTGAACAGAATGGAGATGCGAACATTTTTCTTATTTTGTCTAAATATCATATTTTTTCCATTTAGTACTGCCTGTCAGAGGCTACAGAAGATAGTTACATGTTTCTCAGAAGACAAAATAAGTCAAATTTACCCTGATCTTCAAATTCATTATTCGTTCTTAATGCAAATTTTTCTTTGAGCATCGGTGAGCATTTGAACCTTCTGTAATAGTTGCATATGAGTCCCTCAGTTATCCTCAGTGTGAAAAGATGGATCTCAAAATCATACAGTCACTTTTGGAAAAGGTTCAAATATGCAGAAGATGCTGGAAAACCAAAGAATGTGCAGGAGCTGGGTGATTTTTCTGAAGAACAGCAGGCAGTTAAACTGCTCAGGACCAACGCAGGACTCATGAACAACTATCGTAAAACAGAAAAACAGTCGTGGATCATCCAGGAAATGACACAAAGTATTAAGATAAAAGGGTATGTCAAATTTTGAATGGGGTCATTTTTATAAATTTTTATTATTTTTTCTTGTGGCGTATATATAAACATCTGTTATGTGAAATAGCTTATTCAGGACAGTACTAAATAAAAAATAACATGCAATTTTCATGAGCTCTTATTTTGTTAAAATGATTAACATATTTGCATATTCTGCAAGGGGTATGTAAACATATGAGCACAACTGTATATACAGGTATATATATATATATATAAAAAAAAAATCCCCTCTATACAGTGACAGTCATAGTTTGATGTTGTTTTGGACCCCACTTCTATTATATGAACAAAAACAGTTCCACAGTAGAAAGTAAGTCATACATGAATGACATGAGGGTAATTTTTGGGTGAACTTTCCATCACTCCTTCAACTGAACAGACACAACTGTTGAGTAAACATAAATATCCTCTCTGTTTTAATGGCAGCGGTTATTGAGTACATCTGTTCCTGAGAGGGACTTTCCTGCAGAACTCAAGGTGCTAGAGGACAAAGAGGCCATCATTAAATGCAAATCACCATCTTACCAGCCCTGCACTGCACAGACGGGGGTGCTGCTTAATCACTTTGTCCTTTAACGCTTTTCAATGTCGTCTTTGTGACCGTGCCTTATATCATCATCTCATTGCAATTAAGAGTGTCTTCAATTACTTATACAATTAACCTGCTGTCTGAATCGGCCCACACAATAATCGTTACATCTGCAACAAGCCCCATTGAGATACTGGCCTGGCAATTTAAAGATGGTTACTAAGTATAAACTGGGTGTTGTAGTTATTATGCTATTTGTTTTGCTATATTGATAATTATTACAAGAATGGGTTTAAATCTGGGTTTTTAAACTTTTTGATGCCATGTACCAATAAATATGATTCCATACAAGGTTCTCCCTTAATAAAATGAATATTCAATTATAATTAATTTTATACTGTGAAAAAATCTCTATATTATAAATAACATATTATATTTTACATTTATTTTAAAGACTGAAAACTTGTTTGCAGCCCAGTAGTACCAGGCTGGAACGTAAAAGTCACATACTAGATAAATGATAAACAAACAAAAAAATTGAATCTTAACTAAACACACATATACACACCTTATAATTTGAATGTGCCTTCAGCTGTCTCTGTTTTTCCATCTGTGAGAGGTAACCTTCTGAGCTGCTTCTGTGGATTGGATTCAGATGCTGCTCTGATCTATCTGAGCAGAGTTCAGTGTCGCTGCCGTTTGCTCGGGCTATAGGGGGCAGCACTGTGTAAGGACCAGAGATTTGTGTTGGGCGCGCAGAGGGTCCCACGCTCTCCTCATCACTGGGCAAAAGCTCAGATGAATAGTGGCTGGCCTCTACTTGAGGAGACGTGGGAAATTTTAGCGTTGGTATCCTATGGAAACAAGGAGCATAACATGAATACCAAGTTTATATTTAGCATGTAAAATATGTTAAATATGCTTTTAGCATGTTAAACATGCTAAAACATTTTTTTTTCTAAGAAAGAATAATAAAACATCTAGCCAAAATACTTAATAAGGTTTTCTTTTTAAGAATGGTAATTATGGTAATTCTAATTAGGCTTTTTTATTATGTCATCATGACAGCTGTATTACATAATACTGCCCAAAAATATTAATATGAATTTTAATTCAAAAAATTAAAAACATTCTCATTACAGAAATTGTGTATTCAAGTCATTAAATGTATGAATTGCATGTTTTAGAAAATTATCATTAAATGTATGAATTGCATGTTTTAAAAAAATAACAGGTATGGCAAAATATGAGCGTCAATGACCCCATAATAAGCAGATTGAAAAAAGACACACCGCAGCCTTAAAAACAGTATTGTAATGTGCGAACATACTATAAATGTATACTAAATATTTGCATAAAGTATGTTTCTGGACTTGCCTGAGTCTACTGTGATTCTTGAATGATGCCATCTCAAATGTATTGGGAGTAGGTTTCCCAGCATGCCTCTGAGGAACACTTTTGTCCACAGTTTGTACCACTCCAGACTTGGGGGCTGGTGAAGATACAACAGCTTTTGGAGCCAATCCCATCTGCCCTACTGAATTTGGAGGCACATATGGGTAAAATGGATAACCTTGTTGTAAAAAGGGTGGGTTAAACAGATCAGGCCAATCCCCTTGTAGCGCTTGAGAAACAAGAGTAAAAATGGTCTCTTTCTGGGAAAGATTCAGTGGCTGTGCGTGATTAGCAGGTGTGTGGAGGTTTATGTTAAGGTTGACAGTCGGTGGAGCATGAGTGTGTGATGGAAGTCCAGAATGGTGTTGTAGTGGGTCATGGGTGCAAGCTTCCTCAGAGTCCTGCAGTAGAAGATCAGCACTGATGACGTGTCTCTCTGTAAGGGGTTTAAGGTGCGCTTTGGGTTTGGATTCAGGAACTGGAAGCTTGAGCTGATCTGGGTGGTTGCTGGTTCGTTCCCTTCTCTTCGGTTCCTTTTTTTCCTTATGGCTCTGCAGTAAGTAGGAGATAAAAAAAGGAAAATATGACCAAAGCATTTAAGATGTATTCTGTGTTAAAGGGTTACTCCACCCCAAAATGAAAATTTTGTCATTAATCACTTACCCCCATGTCGTTCCAAACCCGTAAAAGCTTCGTTCACCTTCGGAACACAATTTAAGATATTTTGGATGAAAACTGGGAGGCTTGGGACTGTCCCATTGAAGAAAATAACACAGTCAAGGTCCAGAAAAGTAAGAAAGACATCGTCAAAATTGTCCATCTGCCATCAGTGGTTCTATCTGAATTTCATGAAGCGACGAGAATACTTTTTGTATGCAAAGAAAACAAAAATAACAACTTTATTCAACAATTCTTCTCCTCCGTATCACCGTAGCGCCATTTTGGAGAGTATCCACTGAACGCAAACTGTGTATGCTGTTCTGTGTCAGATGCACCACACGGATACACTGTTTTCTTTCAAATCAAAGCGTAAATAAACGTTAAAAACATATCCGTGTGGTGCGGCTGACACAGACATGTAGAACAGCATACGCAGTTTGCGTTCAGTGGATACTCTTCAAAATGGCGCTATGGTGACATGGAGGAGACGAATTGTTGAATAAAGTTGTTATTTTTGTTTTCTTTGCGTACAAAAAGTATTCTCGTCGCTTCATGAAATTCAGATTGAACCACTGATGGCAGATGGACTATTTTGACGATGTCTTTTATACTTTTCTGGGCCTTGACATTGTTATTTACTTGGCAGTCAATGAGACAGTCACAAGCCTCCCGGTTTTCATCCAAAATATCTTAAATTGTGTTCCGAAGACGAACAAAGCTTTTACGGGTTTGGAACGACATGGGGGTAAGTGATTAATGACAAAATTTTCATTTTGGGGTGGAGTAACCCTTTAAGATGACATGAAGCTAAATTCTAGATGTTGTTCTTCAAAGTCTGAAGGCACAAAAGGATGATATTAGCATAAATGAAATAATTTCCCCAAGTATGACGAGGGCTCTTTGGGCAAAACCGATTTGCACAAAATAATGCCCCTTAAAAATTTTATTTCAAATTCAAGTCATGACAAAGATTTTGGAAATAGCGCCCCACACACTCTAATTGGCTAAAAGAATACATCCCATTGAGCAGAGATATGTCCTTATATAACTGTGGCTTTATGGATAGTTTCATGACCAAGGAGAAATAAAGACAGGAGCATTTATATAATGTTTTTTTGTGGTAAGCCTAGCATTCACGTGGGACCGTCGGACATTATTCTTGTGAGGTCTGAGGCTGTGCCTCAGCATGTAATGCTTCTGATTTAGCCAACACCGGCTTGCACCATTCTTAATGGGAAAATATTTACACTCCTCTTCTTGCTGGCATTAAGGTGACCGTTCAAGTGCTCAAAATAATGATGCTTCTCCATTCCCCCTCTTTCCTCGGCACAGGCTCCTTTTCAAGACATTTCAGAGGCTCCATTGTGCCTGAACAACTCTATCAGAAATTGCGTCCATCACAGCAGAAATGAAATCCCGGGTGACAGTGTGCCCACTGTGCAGACATTTTCATCTTGAGAGGAAGCCCTCGCAGACTGTTATGCATTAAGGCAATGGATTGTGCCAAGCAGCCCCACCTACGTCTGCACAGATAGAGATGGATGGAATCAATAAAGTGAGCTCTACCTTCAGTTTTTGTGTTTTTTGGAGCCACATCAGCTCTGGATCCCAGACATTGTCTTGACTCTCCGGGCTATGAGTGTTGATAGTCTCGTAGGAGGTTTGCCTGGGCTGTGAGAATAGAAGAAAGAAGGGAGAGGGGAGTGAAAGGGTCGACTGCTTGATAAGCCTCCTTTTAACAATTCACCTGTTGCCGTGTCGATGAAATGCTATTATTTCGCCTCACATTTATATTCAACTATTGACCGCAAACAACAGGGGCAAACTGTGCACTGTGAGCGTGAAACAAATACATCCATGAGTATGAGAAGAAATGTCTTGGGGATAAATTACACACTGCGTTTGGCATAAATGTATGCTGACAGCTGCAATAAATCGTCCACCTACTCAAAAAACGGAGCTGACAGACAGGTTTGTTTCTAAAATAATTCGTCCCCGAGCGTCTGGCAAGCATACCAATTCCATTGACTTCTTCTGATCAACTTTTTATTCTTAATACTAACCACTGCTCCTCTGAGCTGACCTACATGTGTCTAGAAGAGTGTTTTATTGATTTTCTTTAAAATGATTCTCTCGAAGCAGTTCGGAGATAAGTGTCTAGATATGGCCACGTTACATCAGTGCACTCTCTCAATTCTTCTTAATGTACCCGTTCAGAGGCGGAATATCTACAGCTAATGCTGTAATGAAAATCATTTAGTAAACTTCTAGTCACTTTGGCTGCTGAGGACAATTCTCGCAGATCGATGGTATTGACAGCTTGCGGGCGTCCCTGAATGCATGCGGCTAATTCTGAAAGCGTGAATAGAGGAAGGTCTAAGAGACACATGCAGCAGTGAGTGGATTGAGTTGTAACATATCCATCAATAAACAGGCAGCCATGCTGGTCTATCTATTTAGCGAAAGGCCATGTGCACAAGGAACTGATTTGTGAACAGCCTTCAACGGTACTGGGCCAGAGACACTGAGTGGACAGTTATTTATCTGTATCTGTATATTTGAGTAAACCAGCGGTCTTCAACTGTGGTTCCAAAAAGATGGATGGATGAATAATGTAGATGGATTGACAGATAGATAGATATATATGTTTAGATTTAAACTTATATATCTATCTATATAAACTTATATAAACTTAAGTATTTATTGCATCAATAACATTAATTAACCAAAATGCATTAACTATGTTGAATTTCTTTTAATTTCAATTTAATAAATTAGCAATCCAATTCAAATCCATGTGGAGTTTGGTCAATTCAAATGTAATTCACACTCATTAACTGAAACCATGCTTCAATTGTGAATTTTGTCTAACCCTGGGGCCGTCTGCATAAAAGGTTTAGACTAGTTTTAAAAGTTACTCATATTGTTATTGTTACTGAAAGTAAACAGCATATGCTATTCTGTGTCAGCTGCATAATTTTTTTAATGTTCCACGTGACACAGCTGACACAGAATAGCATACGCTGTTTACGTTCAGCGGATATTCTCCAAAATGGCACCAGGGTGACGCGGAGGAGACAAATTGTTGAATAAAGTAGTTACTTTTGTTTTCTTTGCATACAAAAAGTATTCTCGTAGCTTCGTAAAATTACGGTTGAACCCCTGATGTCACATGGATTATTTTACCGATCACCTTGCTACGTTTCTGGACCTTGATCGTGGTAATTACATTGCTGTCTATGCGAGGGTCAGAGAGCTCTCAGAACTCATCAGAAACAGTCTTACGGGTTTAGAACGACATGAGGGTGAGTAATTAATGACAGAATTTACATTTTTGGGTGAACTAACCCTTTAAGACACTGTCTTAACATACAGTAGAGGCTAAGTTTATGCAACTGGCCCCTGGTTCTGATAGGGTTGACACTCAATTTCATGCAGTCCAGAATTGAAAATTGTACATTTAGAAAAACAATAGAAGAGCAAAAGAGCAAACAGGCAATGCGCAGACGTTCATAGTAGCGGTCTTCGTTATAAATTAACATATCTTTTAGAGCAAAACCATATTGTAATACGCCTTGTTTGCTATGCTGCGCGTTTAATAGGAGTCTGCACATCTAAGCTCATTTTCTTGTATCGGGCAAGTATCATTTCAAGTAGAGATTGAGCAGCAAATACACATGGGCCACAGTGTGCAGACAAGCCAACCCTGCCAATTATACCATGGGCCAGGTGCACTGATAACTAAGAGCCTATTGGTAACCATGCTCCTCTGATGTTCTTAACAGCCACTGTTGTGCAGATCAACTCATAATAGGCACTACACAGGCAGACATGATTCATTCTCTTCTCTCTGCTTCATCTGAAGACTCTGTGTGTCTGCCAAATTAATTTCCGTGACACAGGCAGTGTAGTCTCCTTCAAACCAGAGCAATGAAAACACCAAGGTCACTTATTCAGATTAAAAAAGAGCAAAGATAAAGGTCAGGTCATGCTAGACATGATATGGCCTGTTTTGTACCTAAAAAGAAAAATGTGAACCTGCACACAACTGAATACATAAAAAAAAGAATGCATCTAGACTAAATACATAGATTACATAAGAAATACTAAATTTCATACTAAATCACAATTGCACTTAAGACAAATGTGGTCTTAACTTCAATACTGAAGTACTATTAAAAAACATATAAATATAAAATGAACAAAATTAGATTTATAACATAGGCCTACTATTTACAGCAACAGCCATTAGTCACTATGGTTTTTTTTTAGCAATAGCAATACGTGAGTTATGAGATTGGGTAATTGGAAATAATTATACAAATGTCATCTTGAAAATAAAAATTAGAATGTCTATGGAATAACACTAGCCTTGGGCCTAAACTACCCTAATATCTGACATTGAGGAAGCTGATTGGATCGTATGCTGTGTTAGTTCACCCCCTAGTGGTCAACCATAAGACTTCAATTTGGTCACCAATGCGTCCAACCAATCAGTTTAACATGTTAAGGTTTACATAAGCTAAGGCCTATAGGACAGAAAAACAGAAGACAGTTTAGGAATAAGGATATCATTTTTCCTGAGGGAACATTCTTAAAAATACTTACCTGCTTTGTTTCTTCTGTTTTATCTTTCTGCTTGTGAACTTTTAGGTAAGACCTCTGGTTATGTGTGTTGATACCAAGAGTTGCTTTGTTACGTTCCACAATGTCTTCCCTAGCTCTCACTGGCCTTGGATTAGAAGGATGTTGTGAGCTTCTCTTCCTATGAGGAACTGGTCTGACATTCAGATGCTCTCCATTATCCAGTGGTGTGCCTTCAGAGGACATGCAAGAACGTTTTGATTCGGGGGGATCGAGAATGTCTTCCTGTTGTGGGTGCAGGTGGAAAGGAGACGAAGGTGGCGGGGATAAAACATTGTCCATCTGAACTGTGGGTGGATTACTGACAACGACATATTCTTGCCTGCTACTTAGAGGCACATTCTCCAAAGGTTCAAGACTATCTTCAGACTCCTCAAACGAGTCGAGAGAAAGTCTCGCATTTAGCTGGTTGAGAAAATGAGCCCCTTCCAGATTCTTCCTCCAGTTTGGGTCGTAGCGCAAGTCGGCGTATTCATCTTCAGAGGGAGCTTGCCTGAAATATTTCAAAAAGAGTTAAGAAGAAATAAGTCATAAACACTTAGGACGAGCTTTCAGTTGAAGAGCAGGCTAGCTACGTCTCATTTAGTGCTTTCGGCATTGTCAGTAAGGAAGTCTGAATGCCTCAAACAGCCATCAAAACACAAGGAAAAAAATTGGCTACAATTCTCAGCCGAAGCGAAATGGTAATAGCGTGTTGTATCCCCCC